GCAGCGAGTGGAGATCATGCTGTTGCACTCCAGCCTGGGCAACAAGAGCAAAACTGTATCTCAAAAAACAAATAAATAAAATAAAAATAAAAAGTAAATAAAAAAAAGAACAAAGGTGGAGAACTCACACTTTGCAGTCTTAAAACTGACTGTATCAGTACAGTAATGAAGACCGCGTGTTCTTGGTACAAGGACATTTACGTGGAACGGAACTGAATGTCCAGAAATAACCTCTGTGTGGTTTCAGTTCACCTGGTGTTGCCCTAACAGATACCCGAGATTGGGTAGTTTGTAAAGAAGATACTTTTATTTGGCTCACGCTTCTGGTGGCTGGAAGGGTTAAGACTGACACCTGCCCCTGATGAGGTCTGCAAGCTGCTTCAACTCACGGAGCAAAGCGGAAGGAGCCGCTACTGGCAGAGAACACTCGGGGGCAGACGGGGCGGGCTCTTCTTTCCTCGGAGACTGACAGAGGGAGGACGTGGGCACCCCCCGGGAGGGCACTGACCCGTAAACCCCATGAGGGATTTAGCCCCGAGACCTAAGCACTTCCCACCAGGCCCGCCTCCTCACACTGCAGCCACGGGATCAACTTCCACATCAGCTTTGGAGGAGGCAAACTTCCAGACCATGTACGGCCAACCGACTTCCACGTAGAGAAGAGTCTCTTCAACAAACGCCGCTGGGACAAACCGAGTCAGCAAAGGAATGAAGCTGGGCCCTGCCTTATGTCAGACGTAAATATTAGCTCAAGAGAGTCAATAGGCCGGGCGCGGTGGCTCAAGCCTGTAATCCCAGCACTTTGGGAGGCCGAGGCGGGTGGATCACGAGGTCAAGAGATCGAGACCATCCTGGTCAACATGGTGAAACCCCGTCTCTACTAAAAATACAAAAAACTAGCTGGGCATGGTGGCGTGTGCCTGTAATCCCAGCTACTCAGGAGGCTGAGGCAGGAGAATTGCCTGAACCCGAGAGGCGGAGGTTGCGGTGAGCCGAGATCTCGCCATTGCACTCCGGCCTGGGTAACAAGAGCGAAACTCCGTCTCAAAAAAAAAAAACAAAACAAACTTTTATATATCAAAGGGCATTATCGAGAAAGTAAAAAGACACTTTACAGAGTGGGAGAAAATATTTTCACATCACGTATTTGATAGGCGTCTAGTGTCCCAAAATATTAATTCTTACAATTCAACAACAAAAAAACAAACAATGCAATTTAAAAAGGGGCCAGGCCGGGCGCGGTGGCTCAAGCCTGTAATCCCAGCACTTTGGGAGGCCGAGGCGGGTGGATCACGAGGTCAAGAGATCGAGACCATCCTGGTCAACATGGTGAAACCCCGTCTCTAGTAAAAATACAAAAATTAGCTGGGCGTGGTGGTGCGTGCCTGTAATCCCAGCTACTCAGGAGGCTGAGGCAGGAGAATTGCCTGAGCCCAGGAGGCGGAGGTTGTGGTGAGCCGAGATCGTGCCATTGCACTCCAGCCTGGGTAACAAGAGCGAAACTCCTCCTCAAAAAAAAATAAATAAAAAATAAAAATAAAAATAAAAAGGGGCCAAGGGGCCGGGCTTGGTAGCTCATGCCTGTAATGCCAGCACTTTGGGAGGCTTCGGCAGCTGAATCAGCTGAGGTCAGGAGTTCGAGACCAGCCTGGCCAACGTGGTGAAACCCCATCTCTACTAAATACAAAAAATTAGTCAGGTGTGGTGGCAGATGCCTGTGATCCCGGCTACTCAGGAGGCTGAGGAGGGAGGATCGCTTGAACCCAGGAGGCGGAGGCTGCAGTGAGTCTGGATGGCACCGCTGCACTCCAGCCTGGTGACAGAGCGAGGCCCTGTCTCAAAAGCTCAGTCGTAGTAAAATCAGAGGAAAGACAGGTACGACATTCAGTTTTGTTCAGTACCATACACAAGCCCCCAGCACGGGCCAAAGAGGAGCTTCAAAGCCGTGCGATGCTCTAGTTTTTGTTGGACACAAATATTCTCATCCACCTTTCAGAGAGTGGCTTCTACCTGTCTGAATCACTAGGCGTGAACTTGGGGGCAAAACCCTGCGAGGTCGGGTTGGCCACAAAGCCCGAGATCTCTCCCAACGTATGAATTAGTTTTGAATTCCATACACCCAGCACCTCACTAACACCAAGCATGAGGCCTCAAGAATCCGACTGGAAACTGTCTTCAGTGAAAACTAACCTATCTTCACTTATTTCAAGGTGGGTGCTAACTGTTGTTGTTGACTGTTCTGGCCTCTGATTATGGGAGGTCTCCTGGGTGGGAACTGTCAGGGGAAGCCGTTTGGAAGGTGGAAGTGAGCCAGACCACATTGCAAGATCCGAACCCATGAGCAGGCAGAACCCAGAGAGCAGCCTCTCCGCGGGCCTGGCGGAGGCCCCGGGAGCTGGAAGAGGCGGCCACCTGGTGGCTCTGCAGCAGAAGTCCACGACACGTTCTCACCCACGTGTCCAAAGGGCTCCAACCAGGTCCCATGGGGAAACTTACAGGATGAAGTCTCTTTACAGTATGCTGCGAGGGTGTGTGACCACATTTAACGGAAAGGGACCTCGCTGGACATAATCCAGTGACATCACACACGCACCGTCTCACACCCACAAAGAGAATCCCCGGGTCTTGAGTACGTTCTGCAGGCATCGCCCAGGCATGTTTTCCGTATGAGTCGTGTCTGGATTAACTGGAAAGGTTCCAGCGAGCATGGGAAAGCGACAGCAGCTGTGTCTAGAGCACAGCGGAGAGCCCTCTCCACCCTGCCTCGGGAATTCCAGGGTGGCTGTCATTGGAAGAACAACAGGCATTGGCATTAGCCCACAAACCCAACCACACTCTGGATTTGTCCTAGAGCGTAACCCTTAGCTAAAGCCATCCACACCTGACGGTCCTGTGGATTTCCAGCAAGGAAAAGGAAAACATTCAGACAGCAGGAAATAAGGGGTGGGGGAAGGCAAAGGCTTTCACAATGGCACAGAAGTCTCGATCCACCATCTTGGAAAAGCTGTTAGCATTTAGGATGCCATCTGCCTCTGGGGAAAACTTCCCTGGTCAGCTTTACCTTAATGTCTCCAAACGGCGTGTGGTTCCAAGAATCTGCAGGGGTCTTTATGAGTTTGGGGTTAACGCATTTTTCTAAAAAATGCACAAGTTCTGGGTCCATCGTTCTTATACACAAAATTAGCAGGAGTCCCAGAAGGTGGCTCCCAGACTCCTTGATTCAGACAAACCCATTACCAAAAGGGACCTCTGGGAGCCCTCTAACTGGATTCAGTGCAGTTGATTTTTGAATCCAATTCAATCCTGGACCCATTCCAGTCTAAGAAATGCTCAAATTCAGAGGGCTTAGAACACATGTTCGCAGAGCATAAATCCGGCAGCAAGAACCCACCTGTGATTCTTGTTGCTTTGAGAGATCAGTCGGCATCTGAGCCCTCGTAGCCATTCAGTGTTCCTAGCAGGTGGCTGGAGATCTACGTCAGATCCCACTTCTGATGCCAAGCCATCAAAACAAAAGCTTTGGACCAAGTAAACAGAGTTGTTTTTATCTTTAGATCGAGTCTCACTCTGTCACCCAGGCGGGGGCACAGTGGCTCAATCTCGGCTCACTGCAACCTCTGCCTCCCAGATTCAAATGATTCTCCTGCCTCAGCCTCCTGTAGCTGGGAGTACAGGTACCATGACACCCGGCTAATTTTTGTGGTTTTAGTGGAGATGAGGTCTCACCATGTTGGCCAGGCTGGTCTTGAACCCCTGACCTCTAGTGATTCACCCACCTTGGCCTCCCAAAATGCTGGGATTACAGGCATAAGCCACTGTACCCAGCCAACAGAGTTTAACTGAGCAAAAGAACTCATGAATTGGGCAGCACTCCGAATCAATGGCAGAGGTTTGAGAGGTCCACTCTGTAATGTGGGAGGGAGTTTTCTGAGTTAGAACACAGAAGTGAGCTATTTTTAAAAATCACAATCAGCTGGATTTTGTTACAGCTTGAGGTAGGTGTTTGCCTTATATAGACAGGGTCAGATCAGCTGGCAGCCTGTCATGGGCTGAGACCTTGCCATTTGTTCCAAAATCTACTTCTAAGTTAGGCTTTTAGTTTCTTTACGAGTACATTAGGTCACAGTTTGTTACCTAAAAACTCAACGTACAGGGGCAGCCTCAAGGCCAAATTTGAGTTAATTTAACAGTTCAAATACTAACACACCAATGTTTATAGCAGCACTGCTGAGTTATTTTGAAAGCAACCTAAATGTCTTCGTACAGCCTTGACGTTTCACTTGGCCGTAGCGAGGAATGACACGCTGACACGTGCTGCCTGTGGGTGAGCCTTGGAAACATGCTCAGTGAACGAAGCCGGACACAAAAGGTCATACAGGACAAGGCGTGGAAAGGGTCGTGATTGCTTAATGGATGGGGGTTTTATTTTGGGGTGGGGAAAATGGCGACTAAATAGAGGTGGTATGTCACTGAATTGTTTACAATAGTTAATTACATCCTATGATGATTTTTATCACGATAAAGATCATTTTGTGAAAGACTGTGATGTTTGGGATTTGCTTGAGTGGAGACAGGAAAAGTTAGAAAACCCCTGGCTTGCGAAGGAAACAGTGGGCCGGCCGCGGTGGGGCCGCGGCCGAGGCAGCAGCTAGAAGCCGCGGATCTGCGGGCAAAGACGCGAGCGCGGGTTCGGCTCCAAGCCCCGGCAGCCGCGGCAGGAACCGGCCTGGACCGGAGCGGGGGCGCCGCGGGGACCGTCTTCCTCGATCCCACCCGGGAAATCCCAACCCTCCGGCCTCGGGGCCGCGGGTTCGGCGCTCGGCCCCCACCTGGACCGCGGGCTGTGCCCCGAGAGGCCCGGCTCCGAGCCCCACGCGGGACCCCCCGGACCCACGCGGGACGGGGCGGGGCGGGGCGGCGCGGCGCGGGCACGAGGCCGCGCCCTGGAGGCGGAGCCGCAGCTCGCCCCATCCTCGGTGCGCCGCGGGACCCTCAGCCCGGCCTTGGCTTCCGGAGGCGGGGGCCGCCCGCGCCATGGCCGCCCCCCAGCCCAAGCCCCCCGCGGGGGCGACCGCCCGGCGCCTGGCCCGGGGCTGCTGGTCCGCCCTCTGGGACTATGAGACGCCCAAGGTGATCGTGGTGAGGAACCGGCGCCTGGGCGTCCTGTACCGCGCCGTGCAGCTGCTCATCCTGCTCTACTTCGTGTGGTGCGCGCAGGGCGTGGGGCGCGGGGCGGGGATCGGGGCAGGGATTGGGGGCGCGGGGCGGGGATCGGGGCAGGGATTGGGGGCGCGGGGCGGGGATCGGGGCAGGGATTGGGGGCGCGGGGCAGGGACCGGGGGTGGGATTGGGGGCGCGGGGCGGGGACCGGGGGTGGGATTGGGGGCGCGGGGCGCGGGTCGGGGCAGGGATTTTGGGGGCGCGGGGTGCGGAGCTGGGATCGAGGGCTCGGGGTTGGGGCAGGGATTGGGGCGCGGGGTGCGGAGCTGGGGCTGGGACCGGGGGCGCGGGGCTGGGGCCGGGGGCGCGGGGCGCGGGACAGGGATCGGGGCTGGGGCTGGGGCAGGGGCTGGGACCGGGGGCGCGGGACAGACTCCTAGAGCCCCGCAGAGTGGACCCGGGTCTCGGGCTAGCTCAGCCTTCCCGGGGTCGCCTCCGGAGCCGGCACCGCCCCTGCCCGCAGGTACGTATTCATCGTGCAGAAAAGCTACCAGGAGAGCGAGACGGGCCCTGAGAGCTCCGTCATCACCAAGGTCAAGGGGATCACCACGTCGGAGCACAAAGTGTGGGACGTGGAGGAGTATGTGAAGCCCCCCGAGGTACGGGGCGCCCCCAAGCCTCCCGCACTGCCGTGCACCCCACCCCAGTGGGCCGAGGGGCAGCAGCTGCCGCCTGGCCGACCGCCCCCGTCTTTCTGAGCCCAGGGGGGCAGCGTGTTCAGCATCATCACCAGGGTCGAGGCCACCCAGTTCCAGACCCAGGCAACCTGCCCCGAGGTGAGCTGGGCCCTTGGCGCTGGGGAACCCCGCCTCAGCTGGGGGGGGCTGGCTGACCCTCGAAGGGTCCCTGACTGGGCTGCCTCCACCCTAGAGCATAAGAGTCCACAATGCCACCTGCCACTCCGACGCCGACTGTGTGGCTGGGGAGCTGGACATGCTGGGAAACGGTCAGTGTGCACCGGCACGGGCTGGGCTGGGCTGGGCAGGTGGGGCAGGGCTTTGCCCCCACTAAGGCTCAGCGACTTCTGCCCCACAGGCCTGCGGACTGGGCGCTGTGTGCCCTATTACCAGGGGCCCTCCAAGACCTGCGAAGTGTTTGGCTGGTGCCCGGTGGAAGACGGGGCCTCTGTCAGGTGCACCCACCACCCAGCCTCCGCTCTGATCCTTTTCCTCTGACCAGAGGCCAGATGCACGGGGCAGGAGTAACAGAAGCTGGCGAGGGGTGGGGGCCAATGCCGGGGAGTGGGGGGAGGCCTTGGGGGAGGAGGGGACTAAACAGCCCGTCTGTGCCTTCTCAGCCAATTTCTGGGTACGATGGCCCCAAATTTCACCATTCTCATCAAGAACAGCATCCACTACCCCAAATTCCACTTCTCCAAGTAAGAGCCGCAGGGCGTGCTGACAGCCCAGCACAGGGCTGCCTCCTGGGGATGGGGCACTTGGGGTGCAGGCCTTGCCTCCTGCTGCCTCCTCAGGGGCAACATCGCCGACCGCACAGATGGGTACCTGAAGCGCTGCACGTTCCACGAGGCCTCCGACCTCTACTGCCCCATCTTCAAGCTGGGCTTCATCGTGGAGCAGGCTGGGGAGAGCTTCGCAGAGCTCGCACACAAGGCAGGGCAGGCGCAGGTGGGGTGGGGCCGGGGCGGGCTGGCACCTGTGCAGGGAGGGCCCGAGGTACAGGGGGAGCAGTCCCTTCTCGCTCCTGACCAGCCGGCCCTGCTCAGGCAGAGGAAAGAAACACGATCAGCACAACCCATCCCGCGTGGCACTCGATGAATTATTGACACTGGCCACAGGGCTGGCCGCTGGCACCCCTTATAGCTCAGACACTGGACGCCCAGCAGCACCCCCAAGCTGCCCTGTGGGCCCCAGTGCACACCTCACATGCAGCCTGGACTGATCCCAGCTCAAGGGGCCTCTTGTGTGCCTTCCCTGGCTTCTTCTTGGTAGGGTGGTGTCATCGGGGTCATTATCAACTGGGACTGTGACCTGGACCTGCCTGCCTCGGAGTGCAACCCCAGGTACTCCTTCCGGAGGCTGGACCCCAAGCACGTGCCTGCCTCGTCAGGCTACAACTTCAGGTACTGTCCTCAGGACACTGCTGTCCCCTGAGTCATGGCCACAGTAGGGTCCTGAGAGGCTCAGCACCTGAGGGGCAGCCCTGGAGCATGGAGGTTAAGTGGCCCCTGGCCGGTGCCACACAGGACCAGGCAGCCTGGACAGGGGCTCCCGGCCTTCCTGTTCCAGGTTTGCCAAGTACTACAAGGTCAATGGCACCACCACCCGCACGCTCATCAAGGCCTACGGGATCCGCATTGACGTCATTGTGCATGGACAGGTGACTGCCCCACTCGGGGTGGGTGGCCAGCCCTGCTCCTCATGCCCCACCCCCCCTCCAGCCCCATCAGTGGTTGTCAGACATTCTGACCACCCCCCATTCTCTCCAGGCTGGGAAGTTCAGCCTGATTCCCACCATCATTAATCTGGCCACAGCTCTGACTTCCATCGGGGTGGTAAGGAACCCACTCTGGGGTCCCAGTGGGTGCAGGGATGGGGTCCACCAGGTCTTTACACCCTGGTCTCCACTCTGCTGGCCCCAGGGCTCCTTCCTGTGTGACTGGATCTTGCTAACATTCATGAACAAAAACAAGGTCTACAGCCATAAGAAATTTGACAAGGTGTGTACACCCAGCCACTCCTCAGGTAGCTGGCCTCTGACCCTCGCCCGCGTTTTGGGCCAGGCCCCTCCCCAGCCCGCCCACTGCTCCGAGGATCGGCCCCCCAGCCCTCTATCAGGCCAGCAAGGGGCAGAGTGTGGCCTGGCCATCGCGTCCCCACGGCCTCGCCCCATCTCTGCCCCATCCAAGCAGATGGTGGACATTCCTGTCTCCGAGCCTGCCCCTCAAGACTCCATACCCACAGACCCCAAAGGTTTGGCCCAACTCTGAGCGCTGTCCTGACACACTGCCCCGCAGACCCAGCCTGGTGGGGCCAGCCAGTCCCCAGCTAGGGACCCTCAGTGGACCAGGGCACTTTGGTAGCAGAGCATCTCCACGAAACCGAACACCACAGGATTCCCGTGCAAGGGCCAGGGCCGCACTCCGGCCCCAGGCTTGTGCCTCACCCTGGTGCACCAATCCCGGCCCCTCCCCAGCTGGCCCCTGGAGTGCTCCTCACTTCCACCACCTCTCACAGCCACCTGGGACCCAAGGCAGCTGAGCTCTGAGGGGCTCTGCTCCTGGTCTTGGGCCATGGGAACCCTCATCCCACCCCACCCCACAAGGGTTTGTAACTTCAAATTCTGCCCAGACTCTACCCTTAGAAGTCACAACATACTCTTCTAAGAATTCAATAAACTTGCAAGCACAACCTTCTGGCCTTGTTCCTTGGGTAGACATATCGTGAGCCCATGGATATGGGGTGCTAGGCCCTACCATCCTGGAGCTGGGCTGCACAGTGACCTGGTCTGGTCATCTCCCCACTAGGCAGCCGGGGAGGCGTGCAGGGCACATCTGCCTGGCCCACGACCCACTGTCCGCACAGCCAGTCAGGCCAGTGAGGTCTGCTGAGGCTCGGAGTGCACCGGGACCCAGGATGTGTCCCTGCCTTCACCTGGCAGGCCACCACAGACTCCAAACCAGAGCCACCTCATCTCAGAATGTGGGAGGATAGGGGCAGCATGACTCAGGAAGAGGAAACAGAAGGGAGGCAGTGACAGCCGCACACAAAGAAAACGAAAGCTCGGACCGCAGCGGTGCTCAGAGCCGCATTTGCTGCTGCTGGGTGGGGGCAGGATCTGAGATGGGAAGTCAGGCCAGGAGGAGGTGGATGGACACCGGCCCGGGAGCTGGCTCTAACCGGACCAGGGCCTGTGGGTGATCTGGTTACTGCACCCTGGGATGCTGCGGTGGTTAGACTGGTACGCCCTGGGAGGGGGAGGGGGGCCCTGGGAGGAACCCAGAACTGAGCATCATGAAGTTGCCCCTGCCAGGCGCCATCCTGCCTTCTAAGGAAAACCCAGTCTCAGGAAAGCAACACCGCCACTCCCCAGGGTTAAAGAGCGGAGAGGGGCAGGCCAGACAGGTCTGGTCTTATCTGAAAGCCTGAGTTTGGAGGTCTCAGCACAACTCTGGAGTCCTCACCCCAGTGCCGTGTTCAGGCGGTAAGAACAGTCTTCTCACCGGATGCTGGACAGCCAGGTCCTATTCCCCTTCACTTGTGGCCTCCTGGCCTCAGGTCACCCCATGGCCTACATGTGCTGTGTGGCTCACAAACGTCCGGCCCCACTTTTGGAGAAACTGGCTCTTCCAGTTGGGCTGCAGCTTGGGCACCAAGGCCAAAGCTTCTCATTTCTGAGCCCTCCACTACTGCTCAAACGCCCCAGCTCCCAGCTGGCCTCAGAGCGAACCCAGGCTGGCCGGGGCCCACAGCCACACCAAGCGCCCCTGGTCCTGCTGGGTGGCCCTCCTGGGGGATAAAGCAGCTGTCCTCTGGCCCCATGAATCCTCATTCCCGAGTGTTCTCTTGCTTTGCTTCCAGGAATGAAGCCCAGTCAGCCGGCCTCCCTCCTCCCGTTTGCCCTAATTTGATTTGATCTCCACTCTGGAGGCCTCAGCACTGGTCCATCCGAGCAGGCATCAGGTTTCTCCAGGCAGGCGGCCTGAGTGGCATCCAAGGGCCAAATGCGTGCCCAGCGGTACCCATGCCCCCAGTCTGGGGCGCCCTGACGGATACACAGTGACAACCTAAAGAAACTTCGGTGTGAAATACAAGGTAAAATGGAAAGTGTGGCAGCCATGCCCTCAGACAACAGACGGCAGGGACAAACTAAGGCCAGCTCTGGGCCAACGATGCAAGCCTCGCAGGGAGAATGTAGGCCCCCCTCTCCTGTGAGCTGTCGTCTGGGGCATCTGCGTTTCTGATTTACATTTCATACTTGTTTGCTGCCCTGGGAAACTGGCCTTTCTGCTTCCAGCTGGTCCAGGGCAAGAAAGTGAAGGACAAGGGATGTATCTGGCCGAAGTGAGGCGCAGAGGTCTGGTTTTCCTGGGGCTGGAGGGTTCCCTCTAGAGCTGGCTCCAAATGAGCAGGGAACAAAGCCAAAGTCCAGATTCTCACGGGTCAGGGTCCAGACTCCCTGGGAAACCAGTCCACACCCTGCTCCTGAAAGCGGTGGGGACAGCCCACTTCTCCATGCAAACAGGTGAGACTCTGGCCCCACCATGGACATGGGAACCCACCTCCTCTCAGAGCCCAATCTCAAGTAGCCAGAAGCCTCCAGGGGCTTTTCCTCCTAGGAAAAAGAGCTGGCGCACCTAGAGAACTCTCCCACCCCACCAGGTATGGTGCAGGAAGCAGAAGCCTGGAAATGCACTCCGTCAACGAGAACCACCACCCAGGGCTCTGGCAGCCTCGCTCATGGCCAGGCCAGGGCCACATCCTGCTCTTGTTCGCTCCTGTGACGTCTGAGTTCCCTGAGAATTGTTTTCTTTGATTCCCTCCCCGTTCCCTGGCCTGTGGTCACAGGTTTGGACAGTCAGGGTGGTCAGCGGTCCGGCCACTGGAAGCACGGGGATGCGGCTTCCGCATCAGGAGGCCTGGCGTGGGTGTGGAGGCCCCCGGGGCCTGGGGCCCGCTAACGGCCCAGCTGTGGGTTCTTCTGCAGCAGCCACTCCAGGGTCTCCAGGAGGCACGACATGCCGTAGTGCTGGGCAATGTTCTGGAAGATTCTGATCTGTTCCATGAAGACCTGAAGGAATAAACAGACACAGTGAGACCCCAGTTCACCCATGGAGGAGGTCGAGGAGGCGAGGCTGAGCCGAGGCAGGTGAGGGAGAGCCCACCTGGGTGTGGATGGTGAGGGCAAAGTCCCCTGCGCAGCTGCAGTACACAGGCATGTGGGTCTCCTTCACCCCGCGGCACTTCAGGCAGACCTGAAAGGGAACAGCCCCAATGGGCGCCGGCCCTCCCACCTCGGCCGGACCCCCTGCTGCTGCTTCACAGGCTCGAGAGGAGAGACACATTCGTGGGCCCGTCAGTAAGACTTGAGCCCCGACTGCACGCACACCAGTCCTCATTTATGAGTAAAATGCTGCCAGCGCCTTCCCTACACCCGCCCTCGCTGTGGGCGTCCCACCCCGGACACCCAGTCCTGAGCCCCTCCAGGCCCTGCTCGCTCCCTCTCTCCTGCAGCTTGGCGTGCTCCCCGCCTCTGCTCGGACACCCCTCCGCAAGACCTTCCCGTGGCCCCGCCGAACAGCGCAACCCCCTCTTCCTCCTTCACTTCTCACACTCCGGAGTGTCTGTCTCCTTCCATGAGAACAAAGCACCCACAAGGCCAACTCTTGACCCAAGGCAGATGCTCAACCAGTGTGGACAGAACATCCATCAGGATCAGGGCACAGATGGTCTGCAAGGCAGGCCTCTTGGAGGACACCAGGGCACTGCTCACCAGGTCCTGCAGGGTGAAGGCCATCAGCTTCTTCTGCAGAACGTCTACCAGCGCCATCTCAATGGCAGAGGAGTCGTAAGCCGCCTGACAGTTGGAGCAGAGCCACTGAGGCAGGACCACCCCGTCCTAGGCAGAGAAAGAGTGGGAGAGGTCACCGGCCGGCCTCCAGACCACAGTGCTGTGCGCAGCATCTCAGGAGAGGAAGTGCCTGGTGAGGGCGAGTCTCCCGAGTGCAGCTGCCCGCGCTCGGACCTGGCCTCCCACCTGCACTTGAGCCTTTCCTAGGACAACACCCCAAACATGGTGTGGGAGGCCTGAGAAGGTGCCTGTGGCCCATTCACGTGAGTCAGAAGGGCAGCAGGCGTAGCCCACAGAGCTGGGCTGCAGGAGCCCCGAGACACCACAGTGCCCTCAGACATCCTGCCCCACCCGTGAAGGGCCCGGGGAAGCCCAGCCGCACCTCTGAGAAGGAAGAGTCTTTACACAGGTCCAGGTCACGGCAGAAGTTACAGCTGCGGCAGGTGACCTCAGGGAGCACGTAGGAGCGGCAGGGGTCTCTGAACTGGGCTTCCTCGGAGAATTCACCGACATCCACCAGGCGAAGCAGGTCTCGGTTCAGCTTATTCACCTGATTTGTGATGTTGGTGTCCAGGGACAGCACCTGTGGAGACCACGGCCCCCATCAGGAAGCAGCTCCCGGGGCCTCCCTGCCACTGGTCTGGACCAGGACCCTCTGGACCTCAGGCTACGGTTCCTGGAGCCCCTTCCTCCCTTCCTCAGCCTCAGAGAGCTGACTTCTCTACACTGGCAGTTCTCCGTCGGTGAGAACAGGCTTCCCCAGGGAATTTACCAAACACTCAAGGAAGAAATGCTGCTGATTCTACACAGTCTGTTTCAGAAGAGTGAAGAGGGAGAGCACACCAACTCATTCCATGAGGCCAGCATCACCCTGATACTACAACCAAAGACCGCACAAAGACTGAGCACAGACAAAAAAATCCTCAAAGAAATATTAGCAAATCGAACCTAAGATATAAAAAAAAAATACATAATCCAGAAACAGATCCACATAGATGAGGTCATTAAGTTACGGAAAAAGGTACAAAAATGATTCAACAGAAAAAGAATCGTCTTTTTCAACAAATGGTCTGGAATACAAACGTAAAGACAGTGCAAGCTCGGTTTCAAACCACCTCAACAGAGCAAATACCACAATAAAGCAAATCACACAAATCTTTTGGTTTCTCAGTGCATATAGACATTATATCATGTGTGATGGCTCATGCCTGTGGTGGCTCCCAGCACTTTGGGAGGCAAAGGCAGGTGGATGAACTGAGGTCAGGAGTTCAAGACCAGCCTGGCCAACATAGCGAAACCCTGTCTCTACTAAAAATACAAAAATTAGCTGGGTGTGAGGGTGTGTACATGTAATCCCAGCTACCGGGGAGGCTAGAGCAGAATTGCTTGAATCCAAGGAGGTGGAGGTTGCAGTGAGCCAAGATCACACCACTATACTCCAGCCTGGGTGACACAGTAAGACTCCATCTCAAAAAAAAAAAACAAAAAAGTTAACGTAATTGGTTTTATTTTGAAACAGGATCTCACTGTGTCACCCAGAATGGACTGCAGTGGCTCAATCATGGCTCACTACAGCATTGACCTCTTGGGCTCAATCGACCCTCCTACCTCATCCTTCCCAGTGGCTGGGACATCACGCATGCACCACCATGCCCAGGTAATTTTTGTGATAGTTGTAGATGGATTTCGCCATGTTGCCCAGGCTGGTCTTGAATTGCTGGGCTCAGTCTACCTGCCTGGGCCTCCCAAAGTGCTGGGATTACAGGTGTGAGCCACCATGCCCATACAAAAGTTAGGTTTGCCCTATACTGTAGTTTATTAAGTAAATAACAGTGTTATG